ATACTGTTGAAAGGGTACCCCGTAAAAAGTTTCCCCTGTTGAAGGGCTTTTAGATTAGGGAAAGGTAAAAGTCACTGGCTCAGTGGTGAAAGCAAATCCTACTAGTTCTTCGACATTATTTCCCGTCTCTTTGGTATAGATCATTTCATATTTGGGGAAAATCGTTACTCATAGAGTAGTTGGCGGCTAAACCATTGAGGGTTGATACTATTGGCGAAATTTAGGCATCCCTGCGAGTTTTTTTTTATGTAGCAGCACTATCGGAACTATTTCCTCCCCACTGCCCTTGTTACCGTATGTGTGCTCAATATTCGCGGCTGGGCGCTAGAATCGCGCCGCACGGCTTCCACAAAGTTCCTTCAGTCTGTGGAGTGCTACTGTAGTTGAGTGGGGCCATCTCACTGGTTGTCTGCACTTCACTTATGCGAAGGAGGAAATGAACGTGAGTGGAAGAACCGCTGCGAAACGCGAATGGTTTCTTTCTCCATTGACCTACGCACACCAGTTATCCACGAAAAATCGCGAAATTCAGACACATTCCCAAAAGCGTGCAGACTTCGCGACGGCAGCGTTTCGGTCGTCCGTACGACGCAATCGGTCGTACGAGCGATCGCATCATACGCGCGTCTGATTTGATCGCGTTCCAATGCAAAAATATCACCGGTGCTACTTCAACAACGTATTTGAGTCAAAAATTTGAGAAGGGAAGCAAATAGAAAACCACTCAATCGTACTTTAGTGCAATAGAGAGACAAAATCACCTGAGGAAGTTTGATAACACTCGTATTACTGGAAAGAATGATGGGAAGACAAACGATAAGGCATCTAAGAAAAAAATATGCTTATATGGGGCTAAACACACTAAACCTCATCATAACTGACATTATTATAGTACTCGAATTGAAGGGACTGTATGGAAGGAACAGTAAAAAACGGGCGTGGAAGGAGGTTCTAAAACAGAACTAGAAGACAAAAAGACAGGAGAAGACGAGTGCGTCTAGATAGTGGAATGGGGTGCGATCAAATCAGACGCGCGTACAACGCAATCGCTCGTAGTAGCGATTGCGTCTTACGCGCGACCAAAACGCCGCCACCGCAAAGTCTGAATGCTGCCTAAGTGAGAAAGGCTAATACAGGGTTTGGCCTTGCCATTAATCTAATTACCTCACTCAAAATGAATGAGTCACTCTGGAGATATGGAACGAGTGTCTGTCGGTACAATACTTCAATAACTCAGTTTTTCGAAATATAAGGGCTCAACTTCGGCTCACCTGTGTTCCGAGTAGCGTTATCTTGTAGTCGCGCCCAAGTTCCGAAATTTCGGTGGGCCTACGGGCAACTAAAACTCAATCCCTTCGAAGGCGCCAACTTTCGTTTTTCTCTGCGTCCTCACGTCTTCATGGCGTTCAGCTACCGTTCTGACTTTTCATTTTCAACAAACAACTTTTCACACTTAAAAAGCGGCTCATTTAACGCCGGTGTCCCCTTCTTTTGGAGAAAACCATCTCTCGGTTCGCGATATGTTTTTCGGAGCTCTTGAATTCTTTCGACCGCAGTTCTTTGTTTCTGTGCGTTCTGGCCTTCGAAGCAGGACCCCCAACAAAAGTTTCAGTTGTCACGTAACCATCTCTGTGGAAGCTTATTCAAACAAAATGAGGAACAATTGCGTTTCTTTTCAAAAGCAGTGGCCGTTCTGTAGGAACCTGAAATGCAGTTTCCTTGCATTAATGCTAGACTGATGTGGAGAAACAAGGGGAAAAGGGTCACGGGCTTCATCTGCTGCGCGGTGACCAACGATGGTGCGGTGAGGGATCTGACCAATGTGCCTAAAGGAATTGGCTCTTAATCAACCTATGTTCACCTTCAGTCAGTAGGGGACAATGGCAGTTACAACTGGTCCTCACATTAGAATGCGCTTTTCTTCCAATCAAACGATTCCTTACTTTTACAATGTGCTCCTCAGCTGTCTATCATGTCCCTGTGCTGTTGACCACTCCTTGTGCGGTACATTCCTCCATGTCTAGTGTTGTATAAGTATTTATCTGCAAAAATCCTGTGAGTTCATAGTTTTTGTATAACCGTGGTGGGGCGCTGAGCTTGCATTCGTTGTCGCTGCGGCGACACGGGGTGATACGGACGCGTGCTCGTGCCGGTGAGCTTCTCCGTGGAGTTGGGGGAGATACTGCTGAGTTTGAAGGATTTGTAGACCACCGGTTTAAAAACAGTTCCCGCGATCAAGTGTCATGGATTGTTGGTGTTCAGTTATGAAGCAGTAGCTGATGAGGACCCCCGAAGAAGTAAAAGAGCGAAAAGAATTGTACACCATAAACAAAACCGCTCTTTGACAGTCACACCGCCCTGCGGTTTTGTGCAACCCCTAGCTTACAAGTCGCTTTTTCGCATCTCCCAGTACGAAATATCGTCCAATGCAAAGAAAAGACGGAAACAACTCACGCGAAATTCATAACAAAAAGAAACTTTCGAAAAATTTGCGTACGAATTTAGGACGAATGTAACGATGTACGGCTTTTGCTCCAACAATTTGCATCCTTGGTGATTTTAGAAGCCTCACCTTGCGAGATGGGTTGATGCTAACTGCATGTGCTTCCTAATGAAGAAATTTTTATGGAAGGGAAGAGCGCGGAATCACTTGTGAGCACGAGCGTTGGTCGGCAAAAGTGGACATACAATTCGGATTTATGCCCGCCGCTCCAACAAACAACAACTGAGCGCCCCTGCTTTAGGTGTGGAGAGGACATTCGTTGGGTGGGCGGCCCAACTGAGCGGGTGTTAGAACTAGAACTTTCGGCGGCCGTAGTACCCTCCTCGCTCGCTCTCGTGTCGATCTCTAGCCCGGGGCTGGACTATTTGCACAAGCAAGGACGACCACGAACTACTAAAGCGCGGGGATTGCCTTCAGAAATGTCGATCCCTTAAAGCGCCCACGAGTTTGAAGGAATAGCGACTTGTCAGTGCAATCATCGCTGCGCTAGCATTACTTCAGTTACCACATTTGAGGAATTTTTATGTCATATCCATGGAAATCGTGGAAATGCTCAATGCTCTGCTGTAGAGGGCAGCACATATATAATACATATGGGTGCTCGAACGAGATATTGCCTCTTTATACTGTTGTCCTGGTTAGCGTAACCGCTCCCAGTCGTTTATTTTACTCGGCGTTTTAGTCTCCTTGTTATGCCTTTCACTGTTTATTTATCGTGGAAATTGATAGATCTCACAGGTTTAAACTTCATAAATGTGGATCTTGTTATAGAACAAAAGGGATAGGACAGCTGCTTAAACCTCCATTTTTGGAAAAGTCTCATCTATTTTGGTGAATAAGAACTTGGAACTATTATGAAACCAGGCATACCCAGTACAAAATGTGGCACTAACGTGTTTTCCCCATAACGTTATTTCAACTAAATGTCTGGATCCTCCATATTTCATTAACAAAACAAAGAGTCCATCAAAAGTATAGCCCCAACTTCCATATATCACATTTAAGCTCAGTTATTTTCAATGGTTCTTGTTTCGTATTACATTTTAAGCATTTCCACGCTTTACAGTCTTCAAGATGCGTTGTAGGCTTGCCTCGGTGCGTAGCTCTTGAAATGTAATATTTTCACTTCCTCGAAATTGCGCTGAAAGAACGCTGGAGGGTGGCGAGAGCCAGACACCGTTTCGGACTCCATTCACAGGCAAACCACTTAGCGTTACATGCCGCTTGAACAGGCGCACGCCTAACCTTATATCTACTCGTCTGCGCCCTCTCACATTTGGTTTTGCCGCGACAGGAAGCTTGCCGTTCATGTTGTTGGCTGCGGCACCACGAGATCAGTGCACGTTGCGGATAGTGGGTGGATTTCTCAACGGAATCCTATTGTCACAACCCACTAACTTTATTTCTTCTTGATGGAAGTGGTACAATTCGACAGCTATAGACCTGTCCACCTTCAGCCTGCCAAGTTTACACCGTGCAGGCTAAGCGTACAGCGCAGCTTTAAGTAAAAGTGGAACACACACATGTGGCACATCATCCAGAGAGCATGCTTTGTATTGACTTTAGGATGTACCTAAATTCTTGCTGCCTGAGAAAGCTGTGAAATATTTATAAAAACATATGTTATGGTTCGAAAATTATCACAAGACTACTGAGTTGTGTGCAAAAGTCGGTCCATAAACAGGACTCGAACTCCATCTCTCCCATACCAAGCGGGTGCGTTATCTATGGCGCTACGGAGGTCTTACCCCTCAGTTCAATGGCTTTTGAACCTTTGAAGCTTCAGCCTGCGGTTCACTGCCAATTTCGACTGAGCGGCTCATCACGTTAAACGTGTGAGTGCTGTCAGGCTATGGCACAATGAGCTGAGAAGGTAAGAACGGTCCCGGTAACGTAGTGGATTACACTACCCGCCCGGTAAGCGGAAGATGCGGGTTCGAGTCCCGTCTGGGATCTGCGTACTGCGGCGTTAAACAGCTAGTTCTACTACTAAAATATATGTCATGCGTTTCATGACCTCCTGTTGCATTGGAAGTTTCTTACATTTTCAATAAATTTCAATGATTAGCTATCATTCTGATGAAGGTGAACTTATGTAACCACAATTCAGGTGTGTTTTCTCTCTTTTTCTCTTACGTAATGCATGTTATAGCGACACAGCTGCTCGACTGAAGCCTCCACCCCTTGACATCAGCTACGTCAACACTAAGAACAATGTACGTTTGGAAGTTTCTCATTTTGCTTTTGCTGTTGTGAAGCTCCTAGGAACCTGTGATTGAACTTCTTTCAATTAATTGGTTTTCAGATGATAAAAGCTGAAAGGAGACTGCTGGCAACGTTAGGATTTGTCGTCCACGTCAAACATCCACATAAATTGATATGTGCCTATTGTTTC